CATTGTCTGCAGGTTGGCCCAGGACAGAGCAGTGCGGGCCCCTTCAGTGATCTTCTGCGCTTACTTCACAGGATTTGGGACTGATAAGGTTTTAACCTTAAAATAATTTTAGAGGTTTTTATAGCAGTGAAACTAACTGCATGAAATATTAAGATCTCTAAAATTTAGTATTTCATTTTACAAATTACATATCTGGTGCCTGTGGTTCTGCTCTTCTCTGGTCTGTGCTAATCATGCTGCATGAAATTTTCTACTTCTCCCAGTTTTTACATAAAGCACATTAGACTTTCACAATGCTTACAAAGGTCCTCTGTTAATCTTTTAGATGTGAAATCTTGGCAGCACTTGTTAACTTTGAAAGCCACTGGTATAATGTTGAGACACTCCACTGAATAAATTCTACACATTTAATTAAGGTGGGAATGACTTGAGAAGATAGTGTATGGAGTAATTTCATATTCCTGGACTGAAATCAAACTCCCCATTTAATTGTAGTAGTTCACATTTATTTAGTAGTATTATGTCCTGGGTACTTCTCTCTGGTACCAGCTATTGCAGATAAAAGGTGTGATGTGCCTATTAGAAATACTCCTTATGAGTAGACTGACCTGAATGGTACAGTGAAGTTAAATTCAATAACCTGGTTATACTGTCCTTAAAACCTCAGCAACACCAGAAAGGACTAATGGCTTTGGAGTGATTTTTCTTAAAATTGAGGAAAAATGATGGATACTAATTGCTTTTCAGTGAGTCTGGCCAAAGGGTGATGATGTGATACCTGACCTGCTGTTCAGTCAGATCATCCGTGGCCTAGATGAAGCTGTTACGTGTTCTGTATAGTGTATACTTTAACTAACTGTATGAGGGAATTGCGTTGGTTTTGACCTGCAGTACTAAGCATATCTGTAAACGTTCTGCTAAGTTGCTACTTGAGAATTGGTTTTCCAGAGGAATTATTGCTCACATTTTGTACATGCAGTTGACCCTTGAACTATGTGGGAGTTAGGGGTGTCACTCCCACAGCTGAAAATCTGCATATAACTTTTGGCTCCCCCCAACTTAATAGCCTACTATTGCCCAGAAGCCTTACTGGTAACAGTTGATTAACATATTTCATGTTATTTGTATTGCTGACATTTCTTGATTGTGTACCTAAGTTTTTTAACTTTTTGTAATAGATTTGTATACATTTTGTAGTAATGGTAAATTAGACTAGTACCTACATATATTTCATGCATTCATGACATACTTTTTATTCTTTATTATTTCTAGGCTATCTAGTTCATATTTCTTCAAATGGTAACAAAGCTCCAAACACTTTCCACTGTATTTACTGAAAACATCTGTGTAGTAAGTGGACCAGCGCAGCGCTCAGCTGTTCTCCAGGCAGCGGCATCTGCGAGGATTTAGCTGCCTCGTCAGACCCAGCAAGGAACAACTCTCTCAAGTGGAAGGAGTGGCCAGACGGTTCAAGAGACAGAACTTCCATCCTTAAGAAACTGGAGCTTTCAGCGTTTGCATACTCTCAAGGACAAGTGTGATTTCAACTGATGAGAGAAGCTATGGTTTAGAGCAAAACAACTATATTAAACTGTGAGGCTCTAAGGTATTATCCTATAGACACGACTGTTTACAGAATTTACTGGCATATCTGGCACAAAACTCGTAGAAGTTGATATACACAACTTTTAGGTAATGTTACCCCAAGTTAACTCAAACCTTAACGTTGTTTCCCTGACCCTGCTTCATTAAAGTAATTTGCCCATTTCCCCAATAAATACTGTTAAAAGACTTTATCCTATTCCTTAGCCTAAACAACCTAAGGGAACTATTTCAGGTTTTATCATAGATAGCCTTGCCTCTCTTCACATTAGTGTATCTAACGTGTTCTTGTAAAGCTGTTGTCATATTAGGCATGATTTTGAGATAAGAGAAATTTTCTTAAAAAAGCAACAACAACCCATTTCTCTTATGTATATGGGATCAAGGTATTACTGTTCCCCTTAACATCCCTGGTCCATATATGCACTGTTGCTAATTCAAATCTCATAACTTTTTTCTAGAAAGCTATTGTTAGTACATGATTCAAGATAACCAAAAAAAGTTAAAATCCCAGCTATCATTTAGGTGCCTCTTTAGTATCCACCTTGAGGTCCTGATACTTGAGATAGAAAGGACATAGACCACTGCTGTTTGGTGGAAAACACTGTAGGAAAAGGCAACTTTAGTATGTGAACATGGTTCTCTGAACAATGAACAATGTCAGTACACCATACGTGGTCTAATATGAGACATTCTGAAAATTTCTCATTAAAATTATAACCAGCCATAAAACCCGCCAGGAACTGAACAACCTTACACAGTCCCACAGTCTAGACTCAGCTTCATTTATCACTCTGTCTGTTTGTTAGTTATTTCTTGAACCAGTGTTGTCAGACCAGTGGGAACTCCACAGAAGCAACAACTTCACAAGGCTGTGTGCTGAAGCTGGGCCGGCCTTTAAAGGGAACAGAATCTGGTTTTTCAAAATTACCTGATGGAATATAAAAAAAAAAAGGCTAAAAGTTTACATTCCCTTTCGGGCCTCACCTCATTATGTCTTGATATATACATTTTTTGCTGTATCTCAGATTCTGATTTATCTTTATTTACAAACAATAAACTGCAAATAATAGAGTCATCATGGTCACCTGGGATTTGGGATTTGGGGGCAGACCTCCTACCATGTTAGATGAGTCATACACTTCAAGGGTGGTGATTTCACATTTTATAGTGCTTGGGTAACCCAAATGTATGTAGCACACACACAAATTCCTTTTTTAAAACAAATTCACCAAAGCTAGAAAATCTCAAGTAAAAAAAATTTTTTTTTTAATTTTCTTAATCCTATACCATTCCACATTGTGGAAAAACTGAAATAAATGCAGTTTGGACAAACCAGGATTTCAGAACACTGGTATAGATAATTTATGTTTTATAATATGTCAGAACACCAGGTACCATCTTGCAGACTCCAACAGATGATAGGCCTTATTAAACTGTAAGAGGCTCACAGATGAAGTGTTAGCTGTGCTGGAATCCCAAACTGCCTCCAAGAGAGTATTTAGAAATGGGGAGCGACTCCGTCCCAGTCCTCGGCTTGCTCACTGCAGCTGCACTCTATATGCACCTATTAGCAATTTAACCTATTGAAAGAAAGAATACACATACATCAGTACAGAAGTGTGGCATTCTCCTTTCCTAGAAGAGGAAAAAAAAACCCACGCCCATCGCTTGTTTCTCTATTTGGCAACATTTTCAAATCGGTTATCAATATAGGTTGTTATTTGAATAAAAAATCCAAATGCTTAGAGTTTGAGTTTTTATGTTATTTTAAATTGTACTATTTATCATATTCAGCTTCATTTTACAAGGGCAGGTTACTTACATACATCTGGCCATTAAGGAAATTTACAACACATCTCACTGTTAGATCCCACAGAGATGCATGCTTCCCATTTTCACTGTTAACCTTCTTGACACATCTGTCCCAACACATTCTAGATTCAATAGGTGCTTCCACCCAGCACTGCTACCCCAGGGAGCACGTGTCTCTGGGACAGGCATACCAGGGCTACCATGGCGCTGGAAAACGTACTCTCATGATGACAAAGTAATCTGGGGTAGCATTTAAGTGACAATATAAGGAAAGGATTTTCACCTTAGCACAGGGTGCTTCTGTCAACCTTATGAAGAGTTTATTGAGGCCTGCAACAGGGCTGAATGAGTAAACAAAATGGCTATCCTAGGGAAAGAGAAAAGTTATTCTTAATTTATAATATGTAGTTTAAATCCACATTATCTATTCAAGGTAATACATTCAGATGGTTACAAAATCAAAATGATATAAAAAGCCAAATAACTGACTCCCTGCACCATCTCCTTCCAAATACGCAATTATTTTTTTGTCAGCTTCTATTGGATACTTACAATGTTTTTTTATTGTAAAAAGCACGTAACAAAATTTAGCATCATAACCACTTGAAGTGCACAGATCACTAGTGTTAGCATTTTCTCAAACGTGTACAGCTAGACACAGCTAGACTGTTAGTCTAAGAATATAACCTTATCTTAAGAGACCAGAAATCTTTTAAGACACCTGTGATGTAAAAGAATGTTTTGTATTTGACTTTACATTAAGGCAACATGCTGTGATTTCTTTCCTTTTCCCCTTGATTTTATTAAAAAGATAAATGATAAAACACTTGTTTGTAGGGCTTAGTTGGAAAAACACTATCCAGATAAATCTTTAAATTATACGATATATTCAGCCATATGGAGCTTAAATGTTAAAAATCTTCACAACTACTTAATGCAACTTAAGGAAAGAACTCTAAATTTGGCAAAAGAATCATACATGCTAATTCTTCAAGAGTACTTTATGTTAAAATTTATACTGCCACTAATAGATTATATATTTTTATATGTTTGAGTAAATCAATTATATGATTGAATAAAATTACACATTAAAATGAAGCATAAATACAACCAAATACACACAGTGGTTGTATTTGAATCATGAAAAGATGTTTTCCTTTTTCCATTTCCTAAGCTTAAGTGAACACTTGTAATTATAATGGCAGAAAAAGGCGTATTTAAAATTAAGAATTTATATTCAGAATGTTAGTTCTGAGACATGGCAAATGTAATTTAAGGGAGAGAGATCAAAGATTTTCATTGACAAAGATTTAGTGTAATTTTAGTTTATGATTATGTGTTAGTATCTCATTGGTTTACTGAGTTTTAAATTGCTGTTTTAATATGTTAATTATAAGTCATCTGTGAATGTAATTTCAGTAATGAACTATAGAAAATCTTACCAGAAAAACAGGAAGCTGAAATTTATCATTTAAAACCACGGCTTGTACACTACATGGTCCACAGAGCCGAGCAATAACTTCTTTACCCAAAAAGTTTGCATGGAATATAAACAGCAGAATACCAGAGCCTGCATAAGAGAGATGTACATTTTAATTGAATCTGAACATGAGCCAGGGAGGTAGGACACCCATGTGGTGGGGGACCCTGAGCCAGCCCCACCCACCACCCACTGAACAATCTGAGCACTCCAATTTTTTCAAACCATAGAACCCTTTCTATTTTCTGTCCAAGTGAATTCCTACTGATAGAACAGACTTTTAAAAATAAGCTGTATTTTTAAAAAAAGCGTTATTGGAAAGTTACCACTGAATGAATAAATGTCACAGAAACAAACCCACATTGTTTATGGGTCAGAGTGATTTTCCATTTTCTTCCACATGCTATTTTTGCCTTTTCCAATTTTTGTGATTAATACTAAAAAATCTTACTTTGAAAGAAAAAAGAGATTTGAAATTTTTACTGAATGCCAAAATATTCTGCAAGATCGTTTTTTTGAACAAAAGCAGTACTTTTAAACAAAAACTAAGTATATGAGTTCTATGACCTTTCTCGTAAGCTAAGCACTTTTAACATGGTACAATACCGATCCAAGCCAGTTACAAACGAGGAGACTCCGTAAGGGTGATCCCCAGAGCCATTTGCTTAATGCTCTGGTCTCAGGAAAAAAGGGCACACTTTTTTGTTTGGACTACTTTACCTCCCCTTTCAAACTATTTTTAAGGTGACATACTGATGTGCTCTCTAGCTTTAGAAAGCACCTTTCTGGCCTAAAGCACTGCGGATCCAGAGAAGGAAAGGCTGTCTGCAGACAGGGAAGGAGTTTCTCCTTGACCCTCCCCTCAGCTCCACCATGAACTCCACCGGCACACAGGTCAAGTGCTCTGTCACTGTCTGGTAAGGACGGCTGGTTGGTCACTCTTCAGAACACACTTGAATAGGGAGGTCTGCAGTGAAATCCTATTGGAAGATCCTTCCGTTAAGGTCATGTTTGTATGTCTGCCAACCAAAATGAGTTCCCTTCAAGGCAGGGCAGGGGTGTCCACAGTGAGCTGTGCTCTAACAGACAAATGCTGGAATTTCACTGGTGATGAAATGACCCAAGGGACCCTAACTAATTTGCTAACAGTTGTTTCATGGTATCAGTATAGACTTTTTTTCCAGCCAAATTATTAAACAAGATGTACAGTTCTAAAGAGCCACAAACATCCTCAAGAGACCAAGGTCAGTGTTAATCACNAGTATAGACTTTTTTTCCAGCCAAATTATTAAACAAGATGTACAGTTCTAAAGAGCCACAAACATCCTCAAGAGACCAAGGTCAGTGTTAATCACACTTGTGTGATTATTATACATGCTAATTATTATACACAATGGAATTTTCTTAACATTTTGCTCAAAGAAAGAGTTCCATATTTATAATGTCACATTTCAAACAGAGAAAACAGGCTTACCTTCTGGTATATTCTGTGGGAGTTTGTAATTGAAATCTGTCGAAAAATCTGGCCCCTCACAGAGACGATGACATGCTATTGGAAAAACCGGTTCTAGTAGAGCAAGACGTGCTTCAAAGTAATCCCTTATTGTTTCTTCTGCTACTCTTGAAAGTCTAATAAGTAAAGAGTTTTTAATATCAATTTAACTTCCCTCTTCTCATTTCCCTCATCAGTTTTTAGCACTCGGCATCTGATCCACCATATGTCTGCCTGTCTCACTGTCTATGTCCTCTGAGGGGAATCTAGATTCTAAGCAGACAAGCTGTCTCCATCTCTCCCCTTTTGAATAATAGTGCCTGGTATACAGTGCTCAATTCATACTTGTCTAATGAATAAGTGATTAATTTGGAGCAGAATTAAGAATTCTGTTAAAAAATAAACTGAAGAATTGCTATACACACTCTTGATATAGTACTTAATTTAGAAATTGGTGATTATGAGTAGTGCTACTACAGAGATTTTTTAAACTATTTTGCTGGGAGGGTAAAATCTTACCTGGTTTGCCCAGGATATTCTGGTTTTAGGGGTGTTAAGTCCTAAGTCCCAGGAAATCCTTTCTTTAGTCAGTTTTCAAGTAAAATCCAGCATCCCAGGAGCCCCTGACCCTCAGGCAAACCAGGAAGATGGGTCACCTACTTGCTGGCTACCTATCAACTATCCCCCAGGAACAGACTGAGATGAGTGGGCTTCGCAGGACTCCTTGCAGCCACGAATCACCTGGAATCAACAAGGTGCTGACCGAGACTCGTGAGTGCGTGCGTGGGTCTGAGCACCTGCATCTCTAGCAGGCAACAAGAGCAAGTGGAGGAGACCACACCTGAGTAGCCAGGGTCAGGAAAATCTACCAGGACGTTTCACCTGAGGATGACAGGACATCTCCAGTAAAATTTCAGATGAATAGAAAAAACTATGGTCAAAGATGCATGCAGAAATCACTGGCTGGGTGGGGCTCCCAGCAAAGGCTGTCAGAGCGGTCAGACTCACCAGGCACATACCCTTTCTTGGCCTTTGCCTTTTCTGTCTTGTGTTTGAAGTCTTTCTGCTTAGGATATAAATTGTACACCTGAAATTGCAATGATCTTACAGGCATGAAGATCAAAGTCGTGTCCCAAGGACGGTGGACGAGGAGGTGGGGAGAGTGGCTGCTCCTGCCTGAGGCTGCAGACCACTGACTCCGTTACACAGACACTAAGAACTTTACTTGTGTTGCTCTTTGTGAAGTTTGTTAGGTGTCACCAAAATAATTCTTAAATGATAGAAAGCTACTAAATTACTAGTATGAACTTCCAATAAAAGAAAATAATTTAGAATGCATTTGAAAATGCATGAGCTCGAATGGATAAACTGTGATCCCTCCCCTCCTCCCCTCTCTACGGCAACCACCAGTGTGTTTATGCGTCTGTTTTTTTTGTTTGTTCACTTTTGAGATTCTACATATTAATGAAATCATATGGCATTTATCTTCTCTAACTTATTTCAGTTAGTGTCATACCTGATTCAACTGTGTTACAAATGGCAAGGTTTCATTCTTTTTTATTCTGAAAAGCAAAGAATATACAATTCCAAAAGTAAAAACATCAGCGGTTGCCAGGGGTTGGGGAGAGGGAGGGAAGACAGGATTTTAGAGCGGTGACTATTCTGTACGAGCACAAAGCAGATCCATGTCACTGCACGTTTGTCCAAAGCCAGAGAATTGACACCACTGAGGTGCGCACCTCAGGCTCCAAGCCGTGCACAGCCCTGGGTGCAGTGCTGGCAGCACAGGAGGCTATGCCTGTGGCCGTCTCTGTGCTTTCTGCTCAATTTTACTGTGAGCCTAAAACTGCTGTAAACACTTAGGTCTATTAACAACAAGAACTAAAGTGTAAATGATTTTAAGAAAATGTTTGTGAACCTGAGATTTTAAGGATATACCCCAGGCAGGACAGTGCTAGTCCAAAACTTTCTAAGACCTCAATAACTTGCAGAAAAGTAATTCTTCATCTGTCACTTATTAAATTCAAGATCTTGTGAGAACAGAACCTCTCAGGCCTCCTACTTGACAGTCTTGTTCTGAGCGGTTACACACATGACATCTCAGTCATGATGTGTCCTATCAAATGACATTAAACTTTGTGACTTAACCATGGGACATTCTCTTAACACTTACGTCTCTAAATGACTCTTGAGCAAGTCATACACCAACACGTTGTTACACTGCTTTGCAAAATGCAACGCACTGTTTTGGTGCTTTGACAAAATATTGCAGTCAGCTCCACATTCAATCACAAGTCGTACGATGTCCGAGTTTCCTCTTTTGCAGGCCTACGTTAGGAAAAGAAGAGAACTAATTACTTAACTGTGAAGTAAGGTACCGACCAGTCAGCCTTTGTCCTTTCTCCAGAGCTGGGGAATTCTCTCCGCAGAGGGCCCGGGGATGTTGGACCCCAGGTGAAACCTGGGGTCAGGCCTCACTGGGCCTATGATGTAAACTGAAGTGGGTGCTCCTTTCACCCTAGGAAAATACAGAAATCTGCATCCGACAGTCATTTCTGCCCCGTGTCCACACTCCCAGCACCTGTATGGTTAGTGCTCTTTGAAGAATGGTTCGGAAATACCACACTCAATCAGGCTGAAAGGTGAAGTTTAAAACAGTTTTGTAAGGATATGTAATAGGTGCTGACTGTCTACTCTGCGAGACCCTGATCACAGAGCCAACAACCCTACTTGGCAACAGAGCCCAGGTTTTCCAAATAGTGATCGTTTTTTTCTCATCCACACAGATTTCTCACTCACTGCCTCCTGCTTTTTTGCATGATCTCAGTCCCTCTGTTTTCTCTGAGGTAGTCGAGCTATGCTCTTTTCTTTTTCTCTTAATATCCTGGGATTTCTTTGTGTTTCAGTGGCGGGCAGTTCTCACTGATTTCCGTGGGCCGTGCTGACCCTCCAGACTAAGTCTGTGAACAGGCAGCCTGGAAGAGCAACGGCTTTTTTGTGTGCTCAGTGGCCATTCCCACTAGCAGGTCTGGAAGGCTCAGCCCATGTGGGCCCCCCAGCTAGGTGATACCTTAGCTCCATCCTTCAATTCATTTCTTCGCCGACTGATTCCTCACCAAATGGGCAACTTTGAAAAAGATACTTCTGTCCCCAAACAGAACACATGCCAGGCTTCTCTATGCCCTGTCATGCTCACGCTGCCCATCCTGCATCAGCTCTGTGTCCTGTGAACAGAGGCACCAGGTCAGAGTGCCTACTCCTCACACTCAGACAGGTTAGTCTGGGGAATCTCTAAAGCACCTCTTGGCACAAAGTAATTTCAAACTGTTCCAAATAGGTACAATTTGAATTCAGCAAATTTAAGATGGAGCTGTGACACTGTTTAATGATCATTTCTTGGGCCAAAATATCTATGTCCAAGGATCTCTTCCTGTCTCATTACTAACCAGCCAGGTGACTTTAGGTCACCCTTAATTCTGAGTCTCAGTGTTTCTATTTGTCAAAATGGGATAATCGTGTTTCTGTCTCACACATTGAGCTGAAATGGAAGCATAAAGGATGGGGACCAGGCCAATGAACTCTCCCAAGAGAACACAGGCATTTGTCTGCACCTACTAGGGGCCAGTTTTTTCTACAGAATAGGGGCAACTGCAAGGTCAAAGGGCATGTGTTTTGGCAGATACGACAAACTGCCCCTCAAAAGGCTGCAACCGAACTGTCTGGAGATGTTTCTGGTTGTCAGAACTGGGCATGGGACCTGCTGACACCAAGTGGAGAGGGCAGAGACGCTGCCAATCATCCTACGATGCACAGGGCAGTCCTCACGATGAGAATGACCGGCCGCCCGTGCCAGGAGTGGGAGGGCTGAGAAGCCCTGCTGGACCCCCAACAGCAGCCCCACAGGCTTTCTCCACACCCTCACACTCTGGTAAAAACTAATTTTATACATTATTTCCTGAGATGGAAAGGTTTTTATTTTAGTTTCTGAAAATGTTTCCCCATGTTTGTTTCTTCTAATCCTAAAATTCAACAGAACTGATTTAATATACTAAATCCTTAAAATCAACTAAAACCCAGCCTTTTAGGAACAAGTACCTAAATAAATAAAGTGTAGATACAATGTAGTTGTTAAATGGATTTAGCAGTCTAGTCAAATACACACAGTTGTTACACAAACCTACTTTCAGCTCCTCTCCAGGAAGAGGCACCGAACTGGCCCAGGGCTGACTTCCCTCTGGGCCCAACCCCTCTCCCTTCTCAGCAAGGCTCCTGTTAGAGCATTCGCCTGTCACCCCCGCAGCCTCACAGACCCTCCAACCCAACCAAGCTCCTCCCAGACGAGGGCACCGCTGCTCTCTGTGGCACCAACCCCCAGGAGCCTCTCAGCCTTGTTGCCCTTTGATGCTCTGCCCCAGTGAGCATTCGCCTGTCACCCCCGCAGCCTCACAGACCCTCCAACCCAACCAAGCTCCTCCCAGACGAGGGCACCGCTGCTCTCTGTGGCACCAACCCCCAGGAGCCTCTCAGCCTTGTTGCCCTTTGATGCTCTGCCCCAGGGATGCGGCTGGCGCCTTCTCCCTCTGACCCCAGGACCCCTCTCCTATCTCTTCCTCTACTTCTCGGGTCTCTCCTATGCGATCAATTGCCTGCCATGTCCGGCCTTTCCTTCCTTTCCGACTCACTACGAGCGATTGCAGGCTCGGACCGTGGCTATGATCAGGGCTGACCCCGGATCTCAATCTCCAGTCCAGAAATCTCTCCTGAGTGAAAGATCCACACATGAGACAGCCGAGCATTTGTAGCTCAGATGCAGCACGCAGAAGCTGGGTGCTCTGAGCTTAGGAAATAGCATCACCAATGTCACCTTCTATTATCGAACTACTTGTGAATTCTGCCCCAAGAAATTGGTCAGTCTGTCTATCCACGCCTCTCTACCAGGACCACAGACGTACAAACCACTGCTTACATGTCTGCACGCTGCCTGCCTTTCTATCCACCCTCCTACTAGGGGACATTAAAACCCACCACCACCACCACCCAACCTTTACTCTGGTTATACTTTTCTCCAGCATTAAACCTTTAATGGCTCCCAACTGCTCTCAGGATGAATTCCTGATTCCTTATCATGGGTATAGAAAGTTTCTGTGTTTACTCCCCTCCACACACACCCTTTATGCTCCAGACTATTTTAGTATCTGCTATTTAGAATCCACCTGGTGATTTCTCAATTAAGATAAAAGTTAAAATTCATGCTTTGAGGAGCCACCTCTACTCTAAACATATGGCAATAACAGAAACACATAAAGGAAAATTAAAAGTCAAAAGTAGGGCTCCTGAACAGAACAAAAATTTCTCAGAACCAAAAATGAAACAGAAACACAAGCAGAGAGCAAGGTTTAAACCCCAAGTGTGGAAGAAGGCCGAAAGGCAGATGATCCAGGCCTTCAGAATAACAGATTCAAGTCCAGACATGGCCAGGCCTGCTGGCTCACTGGGGGTTGTCACCAGGCTCCTGAGGGGCTCATGAGAGGAAGTTGAAAATAGGTAATGCAGACAAGTACCTACTCGGGCCATAGCCAACACAAAGCCGCACCTGGAGAGGGGGCCGTGAGACAGAGCTGCCACACGGGGGCCGCACCAAGCCCCGCGGCTCCGAGTAGGACCCGCTGTGGTCCGCCAGCATCTCTGGTCAGGTACCTACAGCTACTGCAAGAACAGGCCAGCATGCGCTGGGCCCTAGCAACCTTACACTCCAAACCACCTGCAAACTACAATTCCAAAACCACATGAAGAAATTTGAAGCTAAGGAGATGAATTCACCAACATAAAATACTACTGAGAATACAGGTGCTCTTCCCACTGCCAGGCCTCTGCATTCCACACATCATGCCTGCCCAACAGGGCTCAGCCACCACTCACATCCAGCCTACGGCTCCCCAAATCCACAGGCTGAGCTCGGCACCGACGTTCCCACCACATCCCGCTCACACTGAGCTCTGACTGCGAATCAACTACGCTCGTCTCCTCCTCCTCTTCCAGGGCCCCTGAGTCCCGAGACTGTCATGTGGAACGTGACCCGGCGTGGGCATATGCTGCACCTGAGGGGTGAGGGGACAGGCAACCCCGGAAGTACTTACCTTCATCAGTGCTGTCTCGCCATTGCTCTGCTGGACATTCACAAAAGCTCCTGCTTCCAAAAGAATAGCCACTGTAGTTAAAAAGTTCTATTAAAGAAAAAAAAACACACAAATTTAATTCCCTAAATTCGTTCAAAGTAAGATATTTCAGATGTTCTGAAATTTTTAGCCATCAGAAAAAATCCTCTGACCCTATCCCAGTCTAGCGGGTGAACACAGCACCCTGGGCCCCCCACAGTGCAGCCCCCTCCCTCAAGGGCCGGCGCTGCCTGGGTGGCCCCACAGCTCTGGTCCTCACACAGTGGCCACACACCCTTTTGCCACCAAGTTCAATCTTAATCTCAACTGGAAAATGTTTTTAAAAGGTTGCAATCAATATTACTACCTTAATCAGAGGTCATTTTTTAATATAAATCACTTCCCACTACATAAATTACATTGTGAAAATTAAATTACAAAAAGTACTACTGTTGATTAAATAAAGATCCATTCGTGGTAAGTCACAGATGAACGGGAAGTAGGAAATCTTAAAGCTGCTTGACTGTGTGATGGCGACACTTCACAGAAACAGATCCCGGCTCTGTCTGAGGCGGGGCCGCCGACCTTCTCCGCCGCGTGGATGAGAGCTGTGGTCCCGTTCCTCTGCCGGCCGTTCACTTTGGCCCCTTTCCGGATGAGGAGCCGCAGCAGGTCGTCCTGCCCCCCCGCGGCGGCGAGCATCACCAGTGTCATCCCGCTTGAATCCTTCATTGATTTTGGTTAAGGAAAAACATGTCAATGTTTAATCGTAAAAATTTTGGAACTAAGTCTTTTCATTTAGGAGGTTTCTATGTGAAATCACTAAAGTGCATTGACTTAAGCCTGTACTTAGGTTTTCCATTAAAATACCTAACAACCAGAAACCATAAAATTTTACAACTTCCATGTTCTAAAGGCACATCAATGCTGCACATTTACATTCACTTAATTGATACAAATACATAAACCCAGAAATGACCACATTATAGGTTCACATGAGCCCATCCCGTTGATGACAATCTCAATGAATCTTGTCTGAATTAGACAAATGCTGACCTATATAAACCTAACTATTGGGAAGTAAGAGTTTGCTCTAAGGATAAGAAGAAAATTCAGAGTAAGAAAATAGGTTACTGATAATGATTAGTTTCTAAGAGGCAGGGTTTGAACAAAGATAATATTATGTAAATTATATAATTATTAGCTAAAATATTTTCTATCACTAGTTGAATAAACATGAGAAAACCAACCCATTTATTAAATGCCATTTGATAAAATCAAATTCCAACAGTACAGGTTAATTTGCCTAGTCTGAAAATTCACCAGAATTTGCCTGTATAAAAAATCTGAGGAACACAAATCTAAGAATGATTTCTTTCGGCAGAACCACTTTAGAGAGACTCAAGAAAATCCACTAAAACTGAGATAAGATACTGTAATCACTTCCTCTCATTTGTTAAGTATCTTTTTACCACAAAACATGTTATAGAAAGTTCCATGAAATTACTAGGTTTATTAACAGACAAGCTAAGTAAGTATTAAAATACAACAAAAGGCATATGATAAAATCCAACATCTATTCCTGATAAACACTTAAGCAGCTAAAAAAGAAAGTTTAATAAAGGCCGTCCACAAGAAAACAGCAGCATGACAGAAACACAGTCTTCCCGCTGAGACCCGCACAGGTCAGGGATGGAGGTGATCATGTCTATCATCACTATTATTCAAAATGTCACCACTGTACAAGACAAGAGGTGGTGCTGGGAAAAAGAAAAAAAAATAGCTATTTTCTGGAAGATGATTAAATCCTTTACCCAGAAAAATCCAAGGCAAGTAACAAGAGAGTAAGAGAATTTCATATAGTAGAGATCTCCTTCTCTCTCTCTCTCTCTCTCTCTCTCACACACACACACACACACCCCAACATCTCTGCCAAAGACATGTCATAATCAGAAAACCAAATGGAGGGGTAAAAGATCCTACTGATCATAAAATAACTAAAAAATTTAAAAACATGTAGGAATAGACCTAAAGTAAATATGTAAGAACTATATGAAGAAAAAACCCCATAAAACTGCTTAATGGGATAAACATGTTCCTAGATGGAAGACTCAAAATGTAAAAATGTCAGCTGTCAAACAAACTGATCTATGTATTTCATGCAATTTTAAAATCAAAATTTCAAATGGTTTTAACTGTAATCTCAAAGGATTAAACCTAAAAAATTCACAACGAAAGCAAGAAAACTAAAGAAGAAAATTTAAACACCTTTTCTGAGCAAGACAGTGACACCTAAAAGTCATAAAGGAAAAGATAGATGTGACCAGCTGAACATAAAAATCCTCCAAGCAGTGAGATTCCAAAAAAAAAACCAAACCTAACAACTAGGAAGAAAGGGTGAAGATGCTGCCACATAAAAAAAAACCCTTAAAAGTCAATATGAAAAACCACCACCACCAAATATAAGAGGGGCAGTTGATACAGACGGGGAATGACCCTCAGAACACAACTGGGAACTGAACAGAAGGAGCCATTCTACCCAGGCAAACAGAGCACAGCTGAGCCAGACGGCCATTCTAGGGGGCTGGAGTCACAGGAACCCTAATTTTCTACAGTGTTTGCACTTTATAAAGTGAGCATTACTTTTATAATTACAAAAAGAAATAAAAACAAACAATTATTTTAGAAGAGCTACTTTCCATCTTTAATTCATGAGATTGTATTTACAAAGACCTATTACCTCTTGGTCCAGGTTATAGTCTTCATTTGAATTAAGTGCAACCTTCACAGCAATATAATCCCCATTTTTCACAGCATCCCTCAATAAATCTAAAAATGAAAGAAAAGATAAATTAGATTTTATAATCTAGATTCATATCTATGGAGCATAATTCAAACTACTCACTACTTGGAACTGCTTCTGTTGTAGTAAAAGTCTCATCTTCCCCATCAAGATGCTTTTGAAAATCTTCTAATTTCATCCATTCCAACTGCAAGTCCATGCCCAAGCTCAAAATCTGTTGTTTGCCATCTGGAACAGAGAAAAGCCTTATTAATATACATTTTTCTAGACTGTAAGAAAATACAATGCTATTTTGTTAAATTTGTGGTGTCTCAACCAAAACTTTATGTATACTTTTAGTATGGCATTATGTAACTGAGTCTTCAACTTTTCTTCTGGCAAATAATAAGAACTATCCATATTTAGATGTCATAGTGCTTCAAAGGCATAAAGATAAATAGGTAACCTGTTAACTAGTAAAATAGTGAAATATGAACTTTAAATACAAATCAACTACAAAATTAGGTTTAAATAGCTCAAAGAGAGAAATTACAGCGATTCAGTAAGAGCAATCTCTAACATTTTCTCTGTCCATTCTTCCTGATCTATATTGCTTCCAATCCCTGGAAGGACGGTGTAAATCAGACCTGTATGTAAATAAAAGTCATTGCCTATGGATCCTTCCAGACCCGTCCAAACTGCCTTGCACACCACAGAGCAGGAGCCGGCTTCCTCCCTCGTGGGCCTGACCAATGGGCTCACGGACTCTGTATGTGGACATGTGCACCCCTTATTGGCAGGGCAATAAAGGCGGTCTGAGTATAAACTCCTTCGGGAGTATTTAAAATGACTGTGCTATTTTAAAAACTGAAAAACATAAATATTTGATGGTATGAGTCAAAGGATTTTCACATAAAATAAATTCCTTAAACTACACAGATAGGCAGCTAACCTTGCCATAGAAATGAAGTTTGTAAATGATGTGCAAATAATCAAAGTAACTTTTCCCAAAGACCTCAACTCCAACCAATACTTCTCTTTGCCACCTCCCCGGGCACGCCATCACAGAGCAGGAAACAGCCTTTGGGTCTATATACCAGCTTCATGTCGGCTGTGGGGCTCTGAGGGAGTCACATAAACGTGCTGTACCTCACTTCCTGAATAACAGTAGTGGTAATGGCCAAGCACCCAACAGTCAGTAAGAAGTGTTACATTATTCACGAGTAATTTTGTTTCTCAGTGTCTTACTGTACTGGGTAGACCTTTGTATAATGTTGAATAAAATGGTGACAGAGGCATCCTTGTATTTATTTAGATTTAAAAGAAATGTTTTCAATGTTTCACCACTACAAAAGATGCTTGCCAGTTTTAATGCTCTTTATGGACTGGGAAAGTTTGCTAGGTTTTGTTCTTTAAAATAATGTCACTATATCAATTTCTGCTTTACTCACTCAATTCCTAGGGAATACCTAACTTGATCGTAAGAGGTTATGTTTTCACACAAGGCTACATTCTATTTGCTAATATTTTGTTTGAGATTTTTACATCTGAGCTTATGAGTGAGCCTGGCTTTTCATTTTCCTTGGTCATATATAGTTTTTGTCTGGTTTTGGTAGTGAAGTTGGAACAGGCTCACAGAATAAGTTAGCATTGTACATTTTTAGGAAGACTTTTTTATAAGTTTGGCAAATTTTTGCATATGAAACCATCTGTGCCTGGTGTTCCATCTGTAAAGCTATTTTAAATTACCATTTCACATTTTTTAATAGTTTTAAGGGTATTCAATTCTTTTATTGGTTTAATCTGGATATAATCTATAATCATGTTTCTTTCTCCACTGGAAATAATGTTGAAGCTTCCATTCCTTTTTCCCTTAACCAACAGTACCTGAGGCTTGTCTATTCTATTGGTCTTTCCAATGAACTAATTTCTGATTTTATTGCTATTCTACTCTTGGAGGTCATCACTGAGAGGACATGGCTGCTGGACCTACTACCAGGACTTGGGCAACTGGAGGATCCCCACCCTTGCCCCTATCCTTGGAGGTCTGTGTTCTGCCCACCGATCTCACAACTGGAACCTTTTCAAGGACACATTCTTCAGAAAGCAAGGTGTTGCTGAGACCACCTGGACTGATTTTGTGACTGAGTTCTATTGAAGCCTCCAGAGAAACTTTGAAGATTCTGGCAGGCAGCTGCAGAGATCTACTGGTTTTATGGCCACCGAGACAGGCCTTGTATGTAAGTTCCCTTGCTACCTACCAGTGTAGAGGGGTCTGCTTATTTCTTCGGTCTCTCCCTGCCCTCCTTGTATGGGGGCCAGTTCAGATTTCACCTGGGGATCTCCCAAGACTGTGAACCAACACTTACTGCCTGTTCTTTATGGCCTGGTTTCCCAACGGCAGTGCCGTTTTGGGCGTTAGTTAGCCCTCTGGGCAACCCACTTCCCCACTTTGTTTATTCTGTCCTAGTTATAAACAAACATACGCATCTTTTTATTACTCCTCCCATAGCTCCCACCATACACGGTCCTTCCCCTTCTCAGCTACTTGCAGTGTCCTCAGGATAGCATTTACAATTTAGTAAATTGTAATTTAATAAATAGTACTATTCAGTAAATGTTACTGCAAAGTTAAAAGGCCAGAATACAAATGAGTCCATATTTCAGAGTTTTCTGCAAGAAATCTATTAAGATATATAATCAGACAGTTTGGCAAGACTGGGTAAGGTAGAAAACCAGAAACTTTTATAATTTTAAATGTACTGAGCATATTATAGAGGCTCAGAAATATCTGCTTTATCAATTCAGAAATAACAGAATGACTTAATCTTTGATATAAAAACTCAGTTATTTAGGAGATTCAAATAAAATGTTCTTCTCCATTACTTTCTGAGATCAGAATTGCAGTGGGAAAGAAGAATGGGTGAGAGAAACGGCTGGCACACTACCTGAATGGTGCAGAATGAACGCCTACATGCTCACCGGAATTCTCATCCGCATGGCGCACACCATCCGGACCCTCTTCATCACCTTCTGCAGCTATGTACACCCAGGTGTCAGTTTCATCTCTAGTATTTCTCCTTTCTTTAAGCAATAGCTTGTTTTCCTTGGTTTTGTGATCTTCTGTGATTTTACCATCGAGTGGTATTTCTTCTCTTTTCCGATTATTCTCAGGAAAATCATTTTTTTCTTCTGGAGTTAACTTAAATAAATCAAATGCATTTCTGATTTCCTTAAATGCTGGTAAAAAAAAAAACCTGTAATATGAGTCATGAATTTCTACTGCAATCAAAAGAAATCTGAGTATTGAAGAAACAGATTCTTTCTTAATTTTTAAGAATATCTGCCTTTGTTATAAAGCATGATCAGATTTACTACCAAAGCCATGGAGTTGTTTCAGTTTGTCTTTCTATTGGCTGCTCAATATTTAAAAAGGGTGTCCACAGTGGATTGATTTAATCCAGTATTTTGGCGTTCTCCAAGCTTTAACTAAGGCCCACTGAAGATGGTGCGCCTCAGGATAATGTGAGCCATGCCACCAACCAACCTTCTGCTGACACAGCTGCCGGCAACTGTCCTGAAGCTGACCGGGTGCAAAAACGACCGCTGATGGTGAGTGGGGAAAGGACGGGCTCTTACACACTGGCCATGCACCTGATGCCTCTGAAAATCCACTCAGTTTTTAACTAAAGATAAAGTTGCAGAGGACTGGCAAAGCACTAGATCTAACAGAACTACTCAAAGAAAGGTAGAACCCAACAAAGTTAGGAAAAACTCTATTATAAACTCTGGGTACACAGCAGATAGGCTTCAGCAGGGGATACTGAAAATAACGCTCTCAGTATCACCACCATGAATGGAATGAATGCAGTTTGACTATATGTTCACAGTACAGCCGACTTACAGACACTGAGACATGCGTAGTGGTTACCAAGGGGAGAGCTTGAGGCGGGTGGGTGTGGGGGATAAAGAGGCACAGTAATTCACAATCACAATGTAAGATGGTCACAGGGACAGCAGTACAGCATGGAGAAAATAGTCAATGATTCTGTAACACCTTTCTACGTTGACAGATAGCACCTGGACTAGAGGGGGGGTGAGGACTTAATAATGTGTGTAACTGCTGAACCACTGTGTTGTACATCTGAAACCAATACAAGATTGTGTATCAACAATACCTGAATAAAAAAAAAAAATAAAGACTGTATGTCACAGTAAAAAAGTACCTGGAATTGATGTGTAAGATACTAGGAGGAAGAAAATCTCAATCAGCTTCAGTGTTATAGTATTTTGAATCTCCAATCACTCTTTGAGGAATACCAAACTGATAAAGTCCTTAAATTATAATCACTTTATGCATGACCCATTGAAATGACTGCTCTTCCTATCTTCCATTACCCTTCCCCTTGCTGCTGAATCCCAGCTTAGGCTTAGAATCAAAATCTACTTTTAATATTATCTCAGATACATGAAGCTTTGGGGAGAAAACCCAGAGGAAATTCTCCATGTCTTAGAATCCTGCTTCCATGACTCTAGCTCTGCTCCCATGAGAACATGTGTCCAAGTACTTCTGGTACATGAACTAAAGTATCTACTAGGGCTTGAAACACTGTAATGGCGACTGCTTTTATCAAGTACTTGTTCTAGTAGTGATGTGTGTTATGACGGATTATCAGTTATGGTACATGATGATGTGATACAGAATGTATCTTGAATATCATATTTATACAAAGGACATGGAGCTAAATACAATAAACGTATCAAACAGGTGTTAGTCTCATTTGCATCCACTATAAGGAGAGACATTCACTTTTCTGCCTTAACTAATTTCCTGTCTCTGGGCTTCTAATGTGCTCCATCATCATACTCCAAAGGACAAAAGAACAAGATGAACAGAAGATAAAAAATTAATTCCAGAAAAAGTGTATATTGTTATGTAATAAAACTAAAGTGAACGGTTAAACAAAACTAGCAGAGGGTTCTGAATTCCCCAGTGATGACATTTTGCAGTTCTGTGACACCACAGGTTAAAAAAGAGATTGTCAGCATAGTAAACTTGCTGCTGTGTATAAACAACAGGGATGTTAAACGGTTAAATGTCAGCACACACACTCACTCTTTAATCCCTTTGGCTCTTTTCGGCCTCTCTCTTCCTTATCCAAATCATACCTTTTCTGGTATTTTTCTTTGGGTTCATTTTTCTTAGTCTCCTTCTCCTGAAAGAGACACATGTAAGACACAGAGCAAGAACAGAGAGCGGACACTGTCCTGTGATAGCCCCGAGATCATGAGGGTCGCAGTCTGCGTCCTACTGCACAGGACACACGCACTGACCTTTTTTCACACTGACTGCTTCCTCAATTGAGATTATTATCCTGCAACCACGGTAACTCACAAAATATCAAATTCAAAACCCAATACCAGTTTCCTTCCAAAAAATATTCACCTATAGTCCTATTAACCAAACATAGCTATATTTATATCTCCACATTCTCCCTTCTGATCTTTGTATTTTACATGGGTAATATTGTTGTTTAAAATTCATTTATCTTTACACTGCACAGAAATTTTTACATGACTGTATTCATATACATATATATAGTTTCCTTCACCATTAACAGTTTGTAAACTTTTCTATTTTTACTGCATTGAACTCATGACTAATATTTCAATGGATATGTAACAGACCCAAGATGATACTTAACATTCTCTTAACCATTTCTCTCATGGCTACATAGTTAGACTGGTATTTTAGTGACGATAACAACATGGCCAGAAATATCTTTGTATACATAACTTTCCCCTCCCCTTTAAATGATATCTTTAAGATAAATCCACAAAACAGGGAGTAATAGAAGAAAAAATAATTGCCTTTTTTATAGCCCTTGATAAATATTGCATATATGCATACCTTCACTATGTGTGAAATGTTTCCATTTTGAAAAACCAGATGAAGATAATTTTGATAATAATGGGATAAACTATTAAATACATTTTTGTAAGGATTAAAAGATCTATAATGTGTCATCTATGTACCATTATTTAAATTAAAAAGTGATATATTCTTAAGACAAAGGGGGAAAATATCAAGCAGGATAGAAAAGCTAATAAAATAAGCTGATGAAGCTATAAGCTTTACTACATAGTTCTACATGTCATGCTGAGTACCTCTAAAAAAGTCCTGAACTGTTCACAAATGAGCCCTCAATTTTCCAATTGTAGTTAGTCTAAAAGAAAGCAAGACTGAAGACTAGGAGATAAGGTGGGGAGGTCCAAAAACTAGATCACCCTCAGTATTTGTAAGTGCCAATTACTGGCCACAGATTAACTTACTACTGATCGAAAAAGTATTCTCACAGTTCCTCTCACCATTTCCTCTTCACGGCCTGTCTCCGGAGCGCGCGTGCGGGATGGAGCTCTGGGTCCCGAGGGGCTGTGCCTGTCCCCCCGCCAGCACTCACCTCCCCGGCCACCTCAGGGGGCCTGGTGCTCCTCAGTGTCGGGGCAGGAGCGGGTGTAGGCCTGTCTGACTCTACAGTGTCTTTGCCTCTGTCTTGACGTCTTCGCTTTTTACGTCTGTTTTTCCTATTTAGAAAAGGGTGCTTGTTTTCCAGCTTTTTGCTCCCCTTCAGTTCCTCAGTCTTCTGTAGTCTTTTATTCCGCTTTGCTTTGACATCAGCGTCCTCATCAGCACTGACAGCACCATCTAGCAGTTTGTCAGAAATACTATCCTGCCCTGCATCTTGCCCGGCTTTATCTTTGACACTTTTCATCTTTTGTTTCTCTTCTCTGTTGTCAGACTGTAAGTCTTCACTGTCATCTTCCTGGAAAGGAGAATCAGTAAGTACACTTGACTCAGATTCCCACTGAGATTCAACACATTTTTCCTTCTTTGTTTTTCTGTTTTCTTTGGAATCTTCTCTTCTTTTAGTCTTTAAATCTCTTATTCCACCCTTTTTAATTTTGTTTAATTGCTTTGTTTCTTTTGTATCACCTTTTTTGGGCTTTTTGGGTTCCTTTAATTCTTCTTTGGTTTCCAAAATCCTTTTCTTTGTCCTTAAATCAGAAACTAAACTTTCAGAGGATATCTCCAGGTCTGGTTTGGATTTATCTTTTACTTTCCCAGTCTTTGTTCTTTTCTTTTTCAGATCACCTGGGCTTTTCCCGTCCCTATGCCTTAATTTTTTCTTCTTCTTCTTTGGAGACACATCTTCTTTTGTCTCACTTTGCTGATCACTATCAGAGTTTGTCTCAAATATGTCATTATTTAAGGATAGTCTCTATAAGATATAAAGATTTAAATACACATTAACATAGTAATTTAAAAGGTTTTGAAAAGTAGTACAAATGAAATCTGGTGGAAATATTTCTTTCCCCAAGCAGTTTCTCAACTCTTTAAAATTACTTACCTAAATTGAAGTTGTATAATATTACTTATACCTGTAATTTAGTAAATAGGTCTTGGTAGTGATGATAAGCATCACTTTAAGAAAGCAGATAAACAGAGGTACGGAAAAATGTGAGCACTGCTGGGGGTCCCAAACTACGCAGAAGTGAACAGCAACAGGCTCATGAAGTGGGTTGCATGATTTGAACTTCAAAATGTCCAAAAACACCAAGGAAATAATTTGTACAGACTTTCTTGGTTCTCAAAAAAGTAGTTCCCAATCCAAACACCCAGGTTTTTTTTTAAGACTTTGGGTCCTACAACATTTAAATGTGCTGCTATGTTTCAGTTATATATGTAGAATGAACAAGACTGTGCACAAATCTTACTTCCCGATTGATTTGATGTTACATTATTTGAAACAGTTCCTATGGAAAATACTACTTATAAAAAAAAAACTTAAGAATAAAGTATCTGTATAAACACAAAACCACTATGCCAATTATTTTAAGTTCCCACTTACCCAAAATTCTCTTCTAAATGACTTGGGGGGGGGAACAAAGAGAGGGAAAATAAAGGTGTGCTTTAAAGTTTTCCCTCCAGTGCCTAAGAAGTAAATGCCACTGAGGTCAATGAGATGGTAGGAATGTGACGATGCTGGCGTGACTTTCTGAACTCTCCACAGGAACTAGCCCATGTTCCCCACTCCAGGACTTCCAATGATGAAGCCCCACAAAGCACAGGAACTGCTGAGATCAGATTCCAAATCAGGCAGAAAAGGGAAAACAGAAACAAAGAGAAGATTCAGAAAGAAGTGTTGTTCGTGTGTGCAGACTGAAGCCAGAGCCAGAAAAAAAATCCCCTAAGTCTAGGACCATGTTTTTTAACCCCTCATAAAAATAATAAAGGAGGCTGCTCAGGAGTCATAAAGCTAAAAAGATTATCTTGTTCTCCTCTTCTGCCTTCTAAAATTTCATAGAAAGAAATTTCTTATTAATATCTAAACTATCCTGAAAACAACAAAAGCATGCCAGAAAGACATGCCCACAGTACAAGAGGGAAAATATACAAAAATTTTAGAGGTATCAGTTAGAAAGACCAAGCCACTTAAAAGAGAAAGAAACTCAGATTACTCATCAAAAGCAGTATTTTATGCCAGATGACAATAGAATAAGACATTAAGATATTCAAGAAAAAAATGTGAGCCAAGGAATTTATATCCAGTCAAACTGGCTTTCAAGTACAAAGGCTTGAAATTGTTATGAAATAAAAGAGCTTTGGAATATCGTTCTCAAAAGTCCTTTCTACTACAGACTTGGTTTTAAAACCTTAGTGTGCATGAGTATACTGGAGGGCTTACCAAAACACCGATAGCTAGTCCCCACCCAACCAGGTGCACCCCTGAAACTGCATTTCTAACACCTTCCCAGATGAGGTAACTGAGGCTTCTGTCCTGGAGTCTACCACTGGACTAGAGAATAGCTTCAGCTAACCAAATGACTGGGCAGACATCAAAGGATGGACAGGAAAGCATTAAATAGATATGTGCTTTCAGAATTAAGACTGAATAATGGTTATGAGAGAGTATGGTATGTAGTAACTAAATGCTCTGATAATATTCAGTGCACCCATCAAAATAATGGGGAGGGAGTGTTGATTCTGCATGACTCCTTAGAATTATATTATTCTAAGCATAATATTCTGCATGACTCTTAGAATTATAAACTAGTAGTAAAAAGACAACTTCAAATTAGATATGGAGGGAGAGGGAAGGCAGGGAGAAAACTGGTGCTAATTAAACAAATGAATCTGTTTATGTAAATTGGTAACAAAACCACAGAGAGGAAAAAAAATAATCCAAGTAACTGTTGGAACACTAAACATCCTTAGTGAGTATCCTGTAAGGACAAAAGAATTACAAATGAACTAAGAATCTCACAGTAGAGTGGGTGTAGCAAATCTAAACTTATTTCTAATTATGGTAGGCTATGAGCACATGCAATGTTAATGGGACCCAGAGTTCTCATGTTGGAAAAGGATGTAGGAGTCAGAGCGAAAATGGCAGGAAGACCTTGAGGCGATGGACTGAAATTAATGAGTTTATGATTTAAAACAAGCATACTTTTTCCTTTACTTCTGTCCACTTTAAGGGCCTAGATATAATAATGCCCCCTAGCAGTAAGTAATCTTGGTTTCTAAATCCTACTCCCCTGTAAAAACAACTGGGATTCCCTGGAGAAATGGTTGATGCCAGGGTGGAGCAGGAAAGTATATAGTCACGCTGGAACACCTGTTGCCATAAGGCAATTATGTGAGCAAAACAGAGAGTGAGACATCAAAAGGACACAGGAGGTGTCCTGAAAAGGCTCCTCCTAGACAAATTTGGAACTGTTTTAGCATTAACAGGAATAACAACAGTAAGGTATGAACACGTTGAATAAAAAGATTAAAGTGTGTATGATACTAAAAAAATTTAAGGGAGAAGGAGCTGCTCTTTATACTATACAAACTGAAAAATATTGAACAGTTAGAAAAACCAGTATTCTGCAATCACCACAGCAATAATAATTAGAGCAAGAGTCATCAAAGTATTTTAAAATCATGGGGTTGAGAGGTTGTTGGGGAACAAGAGATTCTCAGTCTCAATGAGTACTTACTGGATTATTTATGATCAGATTATTATTTTAAAAGGGAAAGAGTTTCTTTCTTTGAAAAGGGAGAAAAAATAACGGGCTTCACTTTAGCATCTAATTATAATTTAACGGAGCGGTAAGGGAGCCATCAGGTATCTCCGGATGTAATGTACATTACCTATATAATACATCTGCCAGAGTATTTACACTGAATCTGATCAGGAGGAAACAAATCATGTAATTCTAATTAAAACTAAAAAACATAGCTTGTGATTTGACATTAATCAGCATTCACCTAATTCAAATTTGAAGAAAACTTTCAATGAAACAACTTGAAAAGAAAAGAGGGGATGCAAACTCCACAGTCCAGGCAGGTTTATTGCTAAAACTGAGAGGGACCCCTGCTCTGGCCAGCAGGACAAATAAGAGGCTAAGAGGCTTTATATGGCCAGGTTTCTGGCGGGCTTTGTGAGGGGCGGGTTTAGGATAAAGGTGGGCTTGTGGCTTGCTGACGTGTCCTCTTGGGGGTGCTTGTAGCCCAGGTAAGATGAAACCTAGGTCTCTTTGAGATGGTGGGTGGGCTTATTCAAAAAGGTGGTACTCCTGTCCGGGCTCTATCACAACTAACTGGCCTGACCTCCTAGAAAAGGGTCCATATCCCGAAAGACAATAAAAGGGTTGGCAAAAGGCTCTGCACTGTTTCAGACGAAGAAAACTGGAAAGACACAGCACTAAATGCACTGCAAGACAGACAGCAGTGAAGGGCATTCTAGGACAAACTAGCAAAGTCAGATGAATGGTGCTAGTTTAATAGTATCAGCTGCTTATTAGATGGCAGGACTGCTGATGTACACCACTGGAATGTCACACTGATGAATTTAAATGTCCTGAGTGTGATGATGCAGGACAGCCTCTCTATTGCTAGGAAGTCCCAGTGGAGGAATGCAAGGAAAGTCTGCAGCTTGCTCCAGGGCTGGGGGTGTCATCTCCCGACCCTAAAGTCACCCCTTTGCCTCAAGGAAGGCCTGCAGAAGAGCACTTAATGACTCCTACTTGCCCCACTTTCCCTCAATCTTAATGATTTCCATCCTCTTGAAAATCATTTTGCTAAAGACTGGTGTTGACCTCCTCATTTCTAAACTGAATAGCCTGTTTTTACTTAAATTTTCTACACTGGTAAAAGGGAAAAGGAGGGGGGAAAATAGGAAGAATAAATTTTACTTGCTAGGCATATGACTAATACTGTTAGGAATGTAAAGTAGAAAGATAGACATGAACAGCTGGGGAAAGGAAAGATGTTAAAAAAAACCCAGAACTGCCCAAACTCAGCCCAGGTAGGGAGTCCCACGGAAAGACACAAAGGCTTTTCAGGGAGGTGACTTCTTGCCTATTCAGACCAGGCCTGACCTGTCCAGAACAGGTCCAGTCCCAACGTAGGGGGCAAGGGACCAAAACTAAGAACCACTGAACCACATCTCCTCATAATCTCATTAAAATAAAATTGCGGTTTTGCCTGCACCCCCATGGGTTTTTCTGTGTGCAATCTGGGAAAAGACATGCACACCAAGAGGAATGGGTGTAGAACTAGAGTTGTCAATTAAATGACCTCACCCTCTCACTCTAAGGAAGTGTCCCAGCTAGGTGGAGACAAACCTTCCCCTAAAAGTCCCGGGGCCTTTGCCTTGACTCTGGCCTGCTCCCATCTTCGAATGTATTCAAATAATACTTTCATTCTGCTTGGCTACTGCGTCTCTGCCTTTCCATTCTTTGTTGCAACAGGGATAAGGACCAAGACTAACTTCAATCCATAAGAGTATTACTTCAAAAGAACTTTAAACTAGAATCATAAAACTCTAAATTTTTTCAAAACATTTATAATTTTTACTTGGAACATGGTAGTAAGAACCACTATCCTGCATATGCCTCCAATTCCCCAGTCACTTCAATCTCTGGCCCAATATTTTCATCTCAGACCCAGATTTCCAAAAGAAGACTGGACATCTTCACTTGGATGATGCAGGGGCCAAGGGCAGGCTGCCCCCAGATGTGTCACTGTGACATGAATTAGTTCAAAGTTGAAAACAAGGCCCAAAAGACAGAGAAACTGACCTCTCCCACCCCACCCTGCATGCACAAAAAGAATCTTAGAGGACCTGCTCCAGGAAAAGAGCTATCTCCTTAACTACATCAAAGTGTAAAGTGGGTGTGGTAGAAAGGGAGGAATGTGGTTTAGTCATCTGTTAAAACTCCTCTCTGAGGG